GGCTGGGGCCCTGCACAGGTATACTGGTGGCTGGTGGGTGCGGGCCGGCAGGGAACATAGCAGTGGCTGAACAAATGAGGCTGGGAGGAGCTGATGCCTTCCTTGGCAGAGTCCACGTGGTGCCTTGCTGGGAGCAGCCTAGCCAGAACCAGCAGGAGCACAGGGTGGGGCTGCAGGAGCACAGGGTCTGGGTTGGCAGATAGTATGGAACCAATTCTCTTTATTTACATTAAATCCTATGGGGAAATGGGTTCCGCTTAACACTGTTTCATTTAGCACTCATTTTTTCTGGAACCAATTAGGAGCACTAAGCGAGAGTTGCCTGTACATACTTTCATAAATCTTTGCTACACTGAGAATAAATGCAAGGCACTGAACGTCTAATGACAGGTTAAAGTAGGGTGTAACATTACAATATGGTTTAGCCTCCTCCTTGCTGGAAGACAAATTATGAATAAGGTTGCGCTACCATAAAAATGCCAAAACATTTTCATCTATATCAATACAAAGAACTCGTGTCCGACTCATACAAAAAATGCTTTTAGATCCTTTATGAGCAATAAGATAGCGTCAACACAACGCACAGTGCATTAGGTATGTAATTCCTATCGACAGGAGCTTTTCAATGAGTTGTTAGTGAGCCTTCGTTTAATTCTTTTGTTTAAAAGGGAAATAGTGCTATCTTAAGTAGTATAGTAATCGATCAGTGGTATAAGTGTGAGGGTGAAAAGACCCAGGGCATACACAAGGGTGGTTAAACAGCCGCAAGAGCACTTCCCTGTCTCTCTCAGGCCCCTTGCACATATTCTCTTAATGATGCAATGGGATGAGTGGGATCTGTTCCCCCATCCCAACAACCGTGTCTCCTGCCATGCCAAACATGTGTGGCAGGATGCATGATTCTGGGATCAGGGATAGATCCCAACTGCACCATTGCTAGCACAGGGGGAGCCTAAGATAATTTGCCCAGGCTCCCCCTGCACTGGAAAGTAGAAAGTCAAATGACATTGAACCAGTGTCTGTCTCAAAATGACTCCGGTTAAGTCCCACGCTAGGACTGACAATCAGCTAATTGGGGGTCCCTGTCACAGGACTGCACTGAGGGCAGTC